AGAGAGGAGATGAGAGAGAGAGATGAGAGAGAGAGATGGAAGAGAGAGAGAGAGAGAGAGAGAGGAGGAGAGAGAGAGAGAGATGGAGAGGATAGAAGAGACGAGAGAGAGAGGAGGAGAGAGAGAGAGAGACGAGAGACCGAGAGAGAGAGAGAGAGAGAGAGAGAGAAACGGTCGCGCTAATATATTTCAGAAGAGGCCGGCGCTCTGCACACTCTCACGTCTCCATCAAGAGCTGGCCCTCGTTTTGGAAATGCTGGTCAGAGTTGTGAAGATGTGTGACCTGATTGATTGCAACTTTCCTGACGTAGGGCAGCTCAGCGCCTTTGGTGCGCCCTTCCCCGTGTAGAATTTGCAAGTCCTTGGCGTTGGGCGAGTAACACAACAACCTGCATACGCTGTGCCACTCCCAACTTTTTGTGAAACACTTTGGATCTCTGAACGTGTGTCAGCGCCGATGCGTGGAGGCACTAAACCACACCCCGAACCAGGAGCTGCAAACGATCACGCGGCAGGGACCGATCCAGATGCATCAGAACGTACTAACGGTAAACCGCTTCCTATGGTACGTGTGAATAGAGCGCATTTTCGTATTTACTCGACTGTCTGTGTGGGCCTCATTTCACCTGCGTTAGCCGGTATTACGTGTAAATATTGTCTGTGTGGATGAGTTGTGCATTGTTTGTCCGTGCTTACTGGGATGCCAGAATTGACCATCCGTGTTTCCTAAACAAAGGGTATGTACGTGTGTATGTGTGCGTTTGATTGACATCGTGGAAAAATTGAAAGCGCACCCCACGGAACCTTCCTAAACGCCCTAGATTGGTGTGGTGTAGTAGAATCAGAGTGGTTTTGGAGATATATCGGCTGTCGAGGACAAGAAGTTAATTGTGTATTAACAACCTCATCTAGCTGCCACCGCTCAATAAAATGATTTCGCATTGGCGTCATGATCTTTTCTATCTTTATCGACGGCCTCCTCAGGCTCCTGCAACATGGGGAAGGGATCCAGCGTCATTCGTTTATCCAGTATTAATCCAGCATCGATGAGCGCATACCGTGCCTTCAAGCATAATCCCAATGAAAATGGCCTGTGAACGAATCCTGGAATGACATTCACTCAGACAGCGATCCGTCAAATCAGTCAAAAAAACCAACACTCATATTAGCATTTTCGGCACAGTCACATACCTCTCGGCCACAGTGACGTCACTGGGGTTACTGTTCGACCAACGTCTAACTCTGGCATGAGACGGCCACGTCGCTCCTGTTATTCGCTCGTTCCAGTGCAATCCTGACATCATTGCTTAGACTTCGATAGCGTTTAGTCACGGCGTCCTGCAGCTCCTCAACCAAATTCCCGTATTTTCCCACATCCGGCACTGTTCACCTGTCTGAGAGGGCGCGACCGTCGGCCAGCTCGGCAGAATGCAGAGGGTGATCAACGCTGCGGTCGGACTAGCGACCGCAGCGACCACATCACACCCGTGCTGGAGACGTTACGTTGGAAGTTGCAGCGACAAGGCATGACCGTTCAAACATGCACATCAACACATCCCTGTGCCCTACGTGCGCTTTTTAGAACTCGCGCTGGGTATCCTGGTATCGTGCCTGAGTGGCTAGGAGCAGTGCCTGCTCACTAGACATTCGTGGTGGTGCCTGGACTGATGACTGGACTGGACATGCCTGATGGGATCTGGACTGATCGCTATCCAGCCGCAGTCGCCCCCCCCCCCCCCCCCCCGGAGTCGCCACCGCATGGAAGCGCCTTCCTCCAGTAGCGTATGCGGTTTCCTCGTGCCCACACACCGTCGCCGTTTTACATCATCATTACGACTTCGGGAATGCAAAAGAATGCGCGCCGTTATGCAGCCGAACGTTTTTTCCTTCGTCTTGCATGCATGGAATGGATGTGGAATGGCCACTGCATTGAAGTGTTAACCTTACTGAAGAAATAGAATAGAAATGCCTGATAACCGCCACCAAATGGTAAGGCATTTCGCATTGGCATAATATAAGTTTTTGTCGCCTGCAAAGTAAATGTTATGCCCAGCACGGATTCGCGAAGTGAGTTACGGGGGCCGGGGCAGGACATGCATAGCTAAACCCCCCATCGAAATACGAAAATCGGATTTCTTCGCGGACTCTAACCTCTTTCTCTTCATAGCTTGGGAAACGGGCTTGGGGCTTTTCCAACCGAATAGGGAAACACATCCCCGATGCCCAGCAAAATGACATATAGGCAAAAATGGCGCTTAGCAGCGTTATGAACCCGACACAAACCAAGTTCATTGCCTACCGTTAGGTGTCCGATTAGTCGCATTTGTTTCACCTATCTTACTAAAATGACTGTTATCTTATATAATTACACAACGTTTTCACTCACGCAACTCGTTCCGTGACTGTCGACACGTCCAAATACGTGTACCCTCAAAACTTAGTCATTTCGATTTAATTGCCCCCCCCCCCTCCATTCTGTACCCGCCTGGTACCTACTACTCCTGCGAGAAAAAGTATGGGCGTGAGCAGAGGTGAAACTTGTTAATAATGGTGGGGAACTAAGGTGACGTAACGCATTCCCCGCCACAGTGTTCATAGATTCCATGTTTATGCGCGGAAGTAAAAGTCAGTACTGCCCGAGCTCTTTCTAATATGCTGGGTGTGGCATTATGAATTTGCAAGCCTATTACAAGCCAACGTATTTTGTTCACAATGTCACTGCCTGCGGACGTAATTGCTGGCTTCTAATCAGAAACGGTCCTAGCCTGGAACCATGAGCTCTGAATCTGGATCCATTGAGAGGTTGATGAGATCGAAAAAGAATCTTGTCGAACGCAAGATCCCTTTCCGACATTTGTGAAGACCCTCCAAAATATTGGATCCTCTCCAACACGTTGTTAAATGACCTCCAAGAATGCAGAATCTTATTATTACCAGTTTGCTCAGAAATCATTTGAGATCTAACATCTTTTTTTGGAATCTAAGGACAAATGAAAATAGTATACTTGAGCCTGCGAATACGCTTTTTTGCATGCGGCAACTATCTGCGTGTTGCTCATCGAATCTAGATAGCGATCGCCTACAGAGTGGTCTTCCCGTGTCGCTCCTTGGTTGGTATACATCGGTCTTATGTAATCCGGCGGGCGTTTGAACACCCGCATTGGAAGAGGGAAACAGGCATGGTGGGACGGGGAAGCTGTCTCAAAGTCTAAATACATGTGTTATGGCTTCTGTGAGGCCGCATGAAGAAAACCCATACCAAAGCTTGTCGACCACCAAACATTCGGTGTTTACTTTGTCCTTGCCAGGAGGTCGTGGCAGTGATGTGCTTGCACGCGAACTAAAAAAGAAACGAGGAAAAATGTTTGCCTGGCACGTGGCAGAAAGCACATCTTCAGTAATCTGCACCGAACTGTTTGACTGAATGCTGACATCAGTCCAACATGTGTTTTCTGTCGTGCTTTAATGCATTAATTCGTGGCTCTCAAAGCTTATTGCTTCCTATGACTTGAAATGCAACAACAGAACACTAAGTCTCGAGGTAATCCCACAAAGACAGTTGGACTCTGCCGTAAGCCTGCATAACCAGAACTTGGCGCAAAAATGTGCATCCGGCAGTACGTCAGTAATCATATTAGCGCTAAGGCACATGCCACGACCAGCAGTGCCTAGTCGCGTCTTATGACCGTCAAGTTATGGTGATCGTTGGCGCGAGCTCATGTTCTAAACACCATGATCACGGACACACCTGGCTGCTGTCCAGGCGACAGTGGTTTGACATTGTCCTCTAACCAAACTCGTCAACAGATCCCTTCCACTGGGTGCACAGAGTGCTCCGCGGCGAGCTTGCGCCGCCCAGTACCCGGCAAGCCCATGTCCTTGAAGTGTTTAAGGTGCTGCATGCATGCAAGGCATTAAAGCTTTGATAGTTTTGGTCACGTACACGTTCCGAAAACATCTCAATGGATGCCTCGCTGTTTGGTGGCGGTCTCGCCGTAGGTGCATGCAGTGAGCGCCACGGTAGACACCCCCGAGCTGCGCGTGATGCGATGCCGCGCCTCTGATGCGGTGCCGGGATCGAGCGGGTGCTGCGACAGCGGCAGGCCGGATACGGCTGGATCATGGCCGCCGAGAGCCGCTGGGATTACATACGGTTGAAACTTGCGCTTGTGAGCAGGCTGCTGGGGCTTGTCTGTTGCCCTGAGAGTATCAACCAACACCTGGGTCCCCACACCCTATCTCCTCTCTCCTTGTTGATCTCTTCCGCTCTCTCTTACTCGATTCCTCCCTCTTCCGCTCTCCTGTTCACGCCGCCGCGTCCTCTTTTTGTTGCTTTCTCCCTTTTGCTTTATCTCTTTCTTTCTCATCTTTATACCTCTACCTCACCGTTTCCCTCATTCTCAATGCGCCTCTTCCTTGGCCTGAAATCCTTGTTCCTTCCTCTTCCTCTGCTTATAACACCAAGATCGTGTGCATTCTTTACAAAGGTGTATATACGGAAGGGTTTAAGAAGACACATGCCCCTAAGGACTTTCATGAATGATATTTGCGGTTCTGGTGATAGGATCCTGGCAATGACCCAGAAAATCTGGGTCAGTCAGTAGGAAAATTATACTGCACCCATGAAAACTCTCGTCTACCATCCACATTGCGGTACATCCCCTAGAATAGGAAGAAATGCTTCACATAATCCTGGATCCATCCGTTTCCAAGACAGTTTAGCACGTGGCTGACAGCACGCTTCAGCACGTATGACATCAAAAGTACGCACAGCGCACGGCTGAAAGTTCCTGCGCTTGAGACTCCTCTCTTGTAAAATCGCAACCAGTCTCCAAATATAAAGTCATCGTCTACCAAGGCGAGATGTGTTTCTGATATGTGGTTCGTTGCGAACAGTATGCACTTGTTGGAGCTTCGCACTCAGTGTATTGCATCTACACCAATTTGGAACGAGACGCACACGCTGCGTGACGCTGTAAAAATCTGATCACAGTCGACATTGGTTACCGCGGCAGGGTTGGGGACCGAACCAACACTAGGACAACGGCCAGAAGCCCTCGACGAGGGCGTCTGGGCGACGAGGCTCCACCCGTGTCTCCAACGCAGAGATACGTCAGGCAAACCGACAGAACACTCTGCCGCTGACGCGTTCCAGACTCCTGTCAGGCTTCCACACTGCTGTCCCCCGATCTAGGTTCATGAGCGTGACTAATCCCAATCAAAGCGGACGGCTGTCGCAGCCTACATGACAGCGAAGCCATCCAGCAGCGTGCACAACTATCGTCCAGTTCACAAACCAGATATCGGTCACAGAGCGGCCCGACCGAGGCGTCACCGCGCCGCGACCCGACCTCTCAGCTCCGATCACCTCCGCACCTCACCCCACCACAACTCACGCGCCCAGCCCGCCGCGGCCGCCGCCCGCGGCGCCCTCACGCGCCGGGGTAGAGGGCGAGGCAGCTGGTCAGCTTCCTCCAGTAGGCCGTCTGCCGGGAGGCCAGACGGTTGGCGTCGCAGCCGCCGGGCCCCGTCTGGTGCAGCATGGCGAAGTCGGTGCAAGTGCGGCGACCGTCCTTGTTGCAATCGCGCGGATACTTGGCCATGTACTTGCGGATGACGGCCGCGGAGCAGAAGGGGTCGCGCGTGCAGGACTCGTACGTCTGGAACGCGAATGCCGGCTCCTTGTGCAGCTCCGAGTCGAGGAAATAGCCCCTGGTGATCTTGAACGGGCCGCAGAGGTCGCCCACGCAGCCAAAGCCAACATCGCAGTTGGAGGAGGCTTCGCACATGCAGCCGAGGCACTCGCGGCTGACCAGCTCGACCGTCTGGGCCGAAGCCCAGCCCAGCAGCACCAGCAGCAGACAGGCACGGAGCATGATGGCGGCGGTAGTGGTGCGAGGAGACTGAGGAGCCGCTGCGCCGCGCCGCCGCTAAGTACACCGCGCCTGACCAGGGTTTCCCGGTGTCCTGGACGTGACGTCACGCGCCGGGACCGGTTCTCCGGGCGCGGGATGAGCCGCGATTAGGCCCCTTGGGGGCGGTGTCGGAGCCCTCGCGGTTTCAGAGACGCCGGCGCTGTGCGGAGAGCGATTCAGGCGGTGCCGTCGGCGTGACTGGTGAACTGACTTCTGCCCGCTGTTCGCTCGGCGAATCAGCCACCGACGCCGTGCATACAACAAACCGACTGGCGGCCCCGGCTCATACGACAAGCAAGCCCCTGCCCGCTCACGAAGATGCTAGTGTCCTACGCACACGTCCAGTGGGCTGCAGTGTTTGCTTTGCACAGCATGCTGGCCCCATCACCGTGCGAACAAGCTGGGTCCCACCTGTTTACATGGCAGACCGGTCCCACCACGGCTCACACAAGCTGGGTCCCATTTGTTTACACAGCAAATCGGCTTCCGCCCCTTGTCCGCACAACAAACCATGCCCGTCCCGTGACGAGTTTGCGCCCGACAAACCGGCTGTCCCCCCCCCCCCCATCCCCCCCTCCCCTCCCATCACCGGCACCCACCCACGCTCGGGCCCCGAATCCGGCGTCGACGTCAGGGAGGGATGCAGCGTGACATCACCAGCGGCGCTCTCGGTGCGGCACCGGGCTGGCGCGTGAGCGGGCTGCAGCAGCGTGTGGGGGCAGTGCTCCCGATTAATCCCCGGCGAGGGCCGTGCCGATGCTGCAGGCTAAGCTAACCACAAGCGACAGCGCCGCCGTCGGCACCAGGATGGCGGCACGGATGTGCAGGCGTGACGCGTGGCCAGCAGAATTCTGGGGAAGTCATCGCCGTAGTCGTCATCGCGGATGCTCGTGAGTTCAGAGACGGTTCTGAGGGATGGGAACGAGTCGGCTGTAGGGTATAGACCTGAGAGCGTTCTTGGAGGCGCGAGACAAGTCAACTGTGGGGCATAGACCCGGGGGACAGCCACTGCGGTGCCTATGAAGAGGCAAGCACGGGCGCAGGATCGACGATTGAATATATGTCTCGTCGGAAATCATTCTGTAGCGAGTTTTTGCTAACTGCTGGGCAAAAACTAGATGGATACCATCATGTATTGGTCTTGTTCGTCTAGTTTTTGAACTCTGCAAGCGACCAGTTACAACTGAAGTCTTTAAGAAACCATCTCGTATGCTGGTGCTGCGTGCCGTATCAAAACCTCTCTAACTATTGTCTTTGCCCCCTCAATGTACTATCTATCCTTTAAAAGTGACACCTCCACTTTGAATCAACCTCAACCTCTCGCCAGGCCGGCAGTTCCAACATCGAGACTTATGATTGAATGGTCAGTTTTGTAACCTTGTTTAATACCGCAACCAGTAATCACGACTTTTAAGGCAGCTGATCCCAGAAATAAGTCCAGTTTAGCTTGTTTAATTAACGAGATCTTCACCATCAATGTTTATCTTCTTACTGTCGGATATCATTCTCTAAATACGTCAAGTTGGCGATGACTTTGAATCATATCAATCACTCTGCGCTGGGCTCTTGCGTTATTTTGCCGCGCATAGTTGTATGTATCCTGGTGATAACCAAGGACAAAGTTCCGATCCCCACCCACCACAACTGAAATATCCCTTTCCATCTGGTCGAAATGATCTTCAGTGGGTTGGGAAATACATGGATGAGACAGTAGTAATAGGCTTATTCCTCGGAGAAAAACCAGGAGAATGGAGATAAAGCACTGATGTAGCAGCTTACGTAAGGTTGGAAGCAATCCGGAGTGGTTCGATCTCGAGTGAATATATGCTGGCCATGATCCTTTCAAAACTCTGATTAATGTTTGCGCATGTGATGATTTAACTTCCTCCCTTGTCAATCAATGTGCTGCTAAACTGAGCATTTACCTTAATTGTCATATTTGTCACCCGTTTAGTATTGTTGGTGAACAGCGCCAAAATAACGTTTGAGCGTCGCTGTCTCATAAGACGTAGAAGGCCTAGCGTTTCTTCGAAGCCCCAAGGCGACGTGCATTCACGGAACAAATCCGCATCTTACTGATCTACAGTGAATACCAAACCGTGTGACCTCATACGGATCTCTGAATTACTACTAACTCTCTCAACTGACTCGGCAACACTCATGGAGACACGTAAACACCAATGCACTCGGTAGACCACTAATGCGCCTAGATAAATGGAACGTAGCGAGCAGCATTGGGTAGTTCCAGACAGCCAGCTGAGGCAGCGGCTCGCGCTCCTCACGCACGGCCACTCGCATCCGCCCGGATCCTCGCAGCACGGTCCGCAGATGGCGCCAGCGGCGCGCGGCGGCGCCCAGCTGCACCAAGCGCCGCACTCGAGCGCCGGCAGCAGCGCGGCCCGCCGGGTGCCGGTCCTGCGTTACGCCGCACAGTCCGGCCGCAGCGCAGACAGCTGGCGGCACGCCGACCCCTGTCACAGTCGACGGCGGTGGCCGCGGCGCGGCGTCAGCGGGAGGCGGGGCAGGCCGAAGGGCCACCGCCGCCCCCACCCGTCCCTCTCAGATCCACAACCGCCGCACATACTGAGGCAAACCAGTCAATCACACTGCACTCGCAAAATTGACACGGCAGCCTCTGAGGCAGCAGTTAGACCGATGCCCTTAAACGCTTCGATGCGAAGAAACTCGCCGCAACCAACTTGGGCAAAACACAAAATACAAGCTACGTAAGCGAGACTCATCTACCCTCAAATTGCTTGACCCTCTTCCACCCCACCCAGCTTTTTAGATCGGCATCTTGTCTCAACGTGGGTTGTTAAGTACATCTGCGACGTACTTTATACACATAGGTAAAACAGCAGTAATTGTCTTATCCCGTCGAGAAAAACCAGGAGCTATGTCGTATTTGTCACTCCTCTAGCATTGTTCATTAACGTTGCCAAAATATCGTCAGTCCTCTAGCTGCTGCAAAAAAGACCTATCTTCCCCCCATACAATGAACGCATCTATGTCTTCATTCCCTTGGCCTTTGTCCGAAGAGTAAGGCTATTACCATTGCTGCATCTAGTTTTGACGCGAGTTCTATTGGGCTGCACAGTACAGTACGCAAGAGGACACACCGGTCTAGCACTGTGACGATGCTGCATCTGCGTAGCCACGTGGCTTACGTGGATTGTACATCTTGACGGCTACGTCGTGAGTCGTCGGACGGAAGCACACCATGCCAGCGCTGGTGTACACCGAGTGGATGGCCCCTCCTCTCCGCATTCAGCAGCTCCTGCTGTAGATCTGTAGATCTGCCGGTAGATCTGTCTCCCGATGGTGAGAGATCCTCCGCCAAAGCGTGGCTTCTCCGGACCTCTCTCAAGCTCCAGCACAAAGCGGCCATGGTGGATGTCGTCATAGACGGTGCCTGCTCCATGTGCTGTGCACTTGACGGCAATCTTGCGGATTTTTCAGGTTCGGAAGCTGGGCACAACGTCTTGCTTGTCGATGCGAACGTTGGGAATACACCGTCTGATGACCTGCACAGCAATAGATGGTACGTATTCTGGCTTGTCTCTGTCTGTTTCGTCCTTCTCAGATGTGCTTGGTAACGGGGCGGCTGACCCAGCTAGGATCCAGCCAGCCAGCCAGCCAGGATGTCTGCAACTGGAACTCAGCATCGTATCGTCAAGATGGTTTATCATGCTGTTAAGGCGGCCGTGAACTCCCGCAACCGCGTCACGGACTCGGTCGCAGTTCCATCATTTTGATTTCACACGCTCTTCGATACTCTGGATTCGCTGTTGCATGGAGTGCGTTGCAAATTTCACTGCTAATTTCACCCCCATGTTATCACTTTTCGCGAACTGTGCCATTTTGGCTTGGATCATATCCTTCACTTCAATTCTAATGGTAATGATTAACCCGTTGCGAGGCATCTCACATATTTATTCTGTGATCTGCTGCATCAGTTCTCGGGAACACAGAGGGTGTTGAGACACATTTTCCGGACCATCCTAGTCGGCAGCTCCGGTCAGCTGACCGTCGCGCCAGGGCGGGGCCGGGTGAAGGTCAGCGTTCGGCCTGGCCATACTCGCCCCAGCCGACCGTGACCCCTAGTCAAGGTCACACGGCCGACCGGCCTCCGTCCCGGGCGGGGTCGAGCTTGACCGCAGGACTCGCCGACGCTTCTGTCTTGTTTCGGATCGTACTGCGCTACGCGTTGTTCTACATTTCCCTCCACGGCATCTGACGGTAGAAGACTGGTGCAGCTCACGCCTTGCGCGGTCGGCAACATCCCTGTCGCTTACCGAGTCGTCAGTCGCCATCGTTACAATGTTCCAGGCCCCACTCATCTTGAGTGTGACTTCAATCCACGCTGTATGTGAAAAGTCACAGCAATTACGGCATGTCCCGCCAACACAGTCCGGATGGGGGCGGGAGGGAGCCAGGAGAGCCTTAAGTACACATTTCCGCCACTACTGTTTGAACCACATACGGAAGAGCACTCCGTAGCGGAGGGACCTCGCGCACATCCGACCCTGACCGCGATCCCTACCGGACTCCATCCATTAAAGCCACTTAGACCTGAAAGGCAAAGGCTGTGGGACACAAGCCTTTATTTTCGCATGATGCAAAGGAATCTTCACGCAAGGACCGGTCGGTACTGGGGCGCGACTCGGGTCACGACCCCCAGTCACCCCGAGGTGCCCGACCCTTGCTCAGCTGACTTTTGGGTATTTCAGGAGCTAGTCGCACTGACGGCTGCCTTCGCCTGCTGCGAACACTGTGCTAAACTGCGAGGAACTTGGAATACAACCCTTGTCCCTGTCAGACATCACTCTTTCACTCTTCTCCGAGAGGCTCCCTTAGCCTGTCCAAACTTATTACGCGATTACATAGACTTCATAAAACACGCGCATGTACAATTAACCGTGTTTACTTTGAAATGTTGGCCGGCATGTCCTGTTTTAGCTTATGACACCACTTTCTAATCCACAGCTTCTCGGACGC